ACAACTGTCGGCGTCACCAAACGTTGAAAGTGTGCAGATGAGGCTTGGGGGATGTTGCTGCGTGTCAAAAAATAAAAGCATGTCTTCAGAATAAAAACAGAAACGATCTCCAACAGAAACATCCCAGGAAATGCACCATGAAAAACGCAAAAGCAGCTTTTACTTAGCCGTGTTAGCTTCCATTGAAGTCGCTCATCCAAGTTTTTATTTTCTTGCAATTTGCTTTAAAATAATTTTTTTCCACTGTAATTGCTGTGATGTTGAGTCACCCCAAGTCTAATCTGGGACATAATAGAAATTAAGCTTRTCCTCTTTTTTTCCTGTTTTGATTTCAGCTCTTTTTCTTTCATTCCTTCTCAACAGACTAATGTGACACTTGAAGCTTTCCTAAGCAGAAGAAGAAACTGAGTTGAGAGCCCCAAAAAAAGGTCTCATCAGCCAAATGTCCTTATAATTGCTAATGAATTTAAATGAGCAGCTCCTGAATAAAAACAAGATGTATAACTTTTAAAAAGTTGCTATGTTCGTCTTGTAGACAGGTGTTTCGCTCAGAAAGAAGTGCAGATAATTAAACCTCCCTGCCTGATGTTTTGTGACTATATGCAGAAGAGATTACTGAGATCAATTTCAGATCTGAGGAGAGAAAATCAATGTTTAGAAAAGGGATCCTGACCGGCAGATTAGCTGCATCAGTGGAGTCCTGCCTGAGGTCGTCTCCGTCTCTCACTTGAACTGGTTTCCCTCAGTGCTGTCGCTCAGTTAGTYAGTCAGTGTAACAGCATTTAATTTAGTTTATTGGAATTAGTGATATTTGAAAGGTCATGGTGGAGAGTTTAAATGAAATTGGGATTTGAGTTAATTGAATCAGAGAACATTAAAAAGGTGTGTGTGGTGTTATGTTCGTTTGTGTGTTGCCTACACAGATTCGGGATAAACAGAGATTGGATAAACAGAACCACATAAAATTTTTAATTTAAACAAATGCGTAGTGAAGTGACTCAGTTGGAAATCATCAAATRTGTCAAATAAGCTGATGTGTGACTTTAAGTATCTTAATGTTTGTAACCTTTAGAAACAATATCAGATTAAGATTTATTTGTGAGTGGTTTGACCAGATGTTCAAATTTTATCTTTAAATGAAAGGCCTAGCATTCCTTGAAGAATTTCCTAAATATAATCAGGGTTCCTGCAGATCAGTACAAATCTTAAAAGGCATTGAATTCACCAATCCAGAAATAAGGCCTTAATTAGTCTTAAAATGTCTTTAAAATGTTAACACATTGTAATAATGATGATCGTAACTCATCTCAAATATTAAAATAATTGGTTACATTTATTTATCTTTTTAAGTAATTTACTGAATTCCTCTCACAGCTCATTTTGTGTTAAAATAAACATTAGGCTAAGATTGTCGCTAACTGGGTTGTTGTTTTTTTGTTTACATTTTTTTATTGTGACGTTGGTCTTAAATTTAATTCAGGTGGCATTATGGAGGTCTTAAAAAGTCATAAATTTAACTTTCCTTAAGCTGGAATCATAATCTGTTTATGTTTACAGTCACATAGTGGCAGAGAAGTGGACATTTGTGATGCATTTAGGAAAGATGTTTCTAACTTTTTCATGAATTGTTGTAACATTGTGAAAACAATATGTTTCTTAAGACAAACTATTATTTCATTGTTGGCTTTTCATTTTTTTAGTACTGATTTTTATTGATAAGAATTGTAAGGCTTATTAATGTTTCTGCTGAAGGAAACACTTCATTATTATTATTTATAGTATTTATTTTCATTGTCTAGAAAGTGTTCCACTTATAGTAGATACTTATATTCCTCTAAACTTAGCACAAAAGTAAGAAATGTTTACGAAGTCAATAAATGTTTTGTTGTAACAATGATTCCTGACAATAAATCTTATGGTGGGCACCTGATTGGCAGCACCTGGGGRGACCAGAARCTCCAAACAGGAGTCAGTTTTAGCAAAATAAGCTGTTTGGAAAAGAAGATGTGGCAAATTGTTCATGTGAACAAAGCTGCTCATCCCACAAATGCATGTTCCTTACAAATGTGGCAACATTTAAAAGGGAAATAAACAGGCTTTCCAACAGTACAAGTTTTATTGCCAAGAAACGTTACAACAAAGAAATAATCTACAAAATACAATTTTCCTCACATGTGGTGCTAAGTTTATTTAATCTTTATTATTAGTTTATTTAAAACAAATTTTAGTATCAAGGTTTGATCTACCCTGAAAGGAAGAAGCAGGTAAAGATAATGGAAGGCTGGTTGGACGTTTGTCTATCCCTACTGAAACAAACATATAAAACTTGAAAAAAAATGTAAAGGGTCAGATATGTAACTGTTATTTTTTTCTTTTATCATATTTACTACTACAAAAAAGACACGTCTGCTGCTTCATCATTAAACAACTGAACTGATGAACCACTTTCAACTCTCTTGAACCTTTTACGACAAATAGACATTACCCATCACTCTAACTGATATTCTGAACACATTTAACCTAAAAATTAAGGACTTTCTTTTTTCCATCTCTGCTCAACTCACAGACATTTTAAAAGGTAAAGCAAAGGTAGCAAAAAAAATAAAGCCCAATTCACAAAGACTTTCAAACCTGCGTCAATTTCAAAGATAAATTCTGAAATTCAGAMAGTAAAAGAGGCAGACAATTGGGGGAAATTGCCTTCCTGTTGCTTTGCTTTTATGCTGTAAGAAATAAAATAATTTKCTTTCACTTTCACAACAAAGTCCTCTTCTGAGAAAAATGTCAAACTGTGAAGGAATAATACACTTCCTGAGCTTTTGTATGAAACRCTGAAGCAGWTTGTTCCAGAAAAGTTTCTCAGAATTTACATTTATTTTTATTTTCTTAAAGTCTAACATACATATAATAAACAAGATCTTTTTCAGTTTTTAAAATAAATTCTACAGAGCTCATACTCTTGCATAGGTGGTGTTTTTCCTCACGTATCTTCCTCTCTTTACCCTCATCTGGAATAAATCCAAGCTTTGTTCTGTTTTTTTTATTTATTTTTTTATTTTTTTGGCAGAAGACACCTGCTACCAGGCAGTTGTTCCTCCTTCCATCTCATTAAGCTCCCCCTGATATTTTTCTTTGTGCTGCAGCCAAATTTAACTTCTGTCTTGTCAAACTGCAAATGTTTAAGTCTTTAAAATGTGGAGCAAAAATGAGTTATTTGTGTTTTTTTAAATGCAGTTTTTTAATGCTATGAAGTAAAACTCTTGTAGCCAAGATAAAAAAAACACTTTTATGTCTTATTCCTGCAGTTTTATATAACTTTATTATCAGACAGCCCGAAGACACTCAGATGGGTCCTTACAGAAGCCTGTAATTAGCTTGCTTATGTAAGACTGCATTTTAATGCTGCYTTGCGTCTAGGTAAAGGTCGTTGCTCTTTAAAGCGTGTGAAGTCTGAAAGCACTTTAGGTCAGCCRGAGTTAAATGTGATGAGATGAGAGGTCATGTGAAAGAGATTTTAAAACATGAAGCTGATGTGAAATTACTGCAGGATTCATTTTAACAGTTTAAAACCTCAGCATAATGCCTGTCGACTTTTATGCCAGAGCTGTAGCTCTTTTGGTCAAAAATAAGGTTAAGCGCAACCTTGTGTTCTATGGCAAGATGTCATGTGTTGTGAGTGACCCTTGGCTACAACCACAATCTAATTTTAGCTCAATATCTGTAAAATTGACTATATTACCAATTTAATGTTTGGTATCGTCAGTTAGCAGTGATCATGTGTAAGTATCAGTCTTTTTACACTGATCTCAATCACTACCTACACATAGATGTTATTGTGTCAATGCTATTAAGACGAATCATCTGTCTTCCGTACGTTTTTCAGCATCTCATTCTACATTTTTTGTGCTATTTCAATAATTCATTTATCAAAATTTTCAGTTCTTTCAATATTTACGCAACTTATACATTTTCAGATATTTATCAATTTCTGTCATTTTTGTTCTCTTTGAAAATGAATAGAGTTGTCTTCAACAACCTTAAAATCCTCACGTTTTTTTTGCTTCCTTCAGCTTCATTTTTGCTAATTTTAGCTTTTTATGCTTTTTCAGCTATCTATTCTGCTAAATTAAATTTTGTCTATTAGCTTCTTTTAGCCGTTTTCTGTCATTTAAGCTACTTTTTAGCAATTTTCAGCTAATTTGAGATTTTCTTTTCAGTTTAATTCACTTTTTTTGTAATAATTTCAGCTGCTTACTGCTTAATTCAGAAAACAAGTGCTTCTTCTGCCTCATGCTAGCTATTCTCTGCTTGGGATTGTGTATTTTCCAACAAATTGCAAAATTTTTGTACATATTTTCTGGAAATCTTTTGCAACAAAAAGCATTTTAAGCATCTGTTTTATTTTTGCATTTTTCTGCAAAAATGTAATTTTTTCGTCATTAAGCATTCACACTGCATTTTTGCAGAAAATGCTACTTCTTTAATTGATATTTAGATCAGTTCCACCTAATCAATGGTTCATGAGATATTTTGCTAACAAACAGACAAAACCACACAGACACAGTCAAAGACATAAATGTCTGCTTTTCTTTATGGCAGTGGGTGATAACAATTCAGATGTAAGTGCAGAAGAGCAGATTGTTGGTGCTCATAAAAAATCATATTTTCTGAAGTAAACTGATTAATGCTTTGTTCACTGTGCTGACTGAAAAGTTTGCAGGATCAGAGGAAGAAGCACACAATTACAGTCATTGGAGTTCTGCTTAAAGGCCAAAGACATTTCTCAAGATAAACAATGGACTTGTGAAGCAGGAAAAGGCCACTCATTTATCCCCTGCTATTACTGAAGTCATTAGGGTTTTACTGAGTGAATCATTTAGCTGCTGTGTGGGTTTCAGACGTGCTCTGAAATCTGCCTTTGTCCCAGCACATCCAAACATATGACAGACTTAAACCTGACACTCTGCTTGTTGTTAAAATGTGATTATTCTTCCTTTTAGCCGCGCTGACCCAGAACCAGGTCCACCCGCTCCTTGGCTCCCTGCCACTCCCGGGTCGGCCCCTTCGGTCGCCGGCTCATCCCCAGCTGGAGCGCTTCCTGCCTCTCAGGGTCAATGGCTCCTCACCGCTCAGCCTCTTCCCCAACTTCAACGCAGTAAGACGCCAGAAACATTTCTGAAAGTTGCACGACAAAAAATACAGAAACGGTTCGTTGCTGCGGCCCATGCAGGAGAGAACTGCTGAAAAATAAAGTTTACGCCCGTGTGTTTCATCTTTCAGATGGACCCAGTTCAGAAAGCGGTGATCAACCACACCTTCGGCATGGCTCAGCAGAAGAAGAAGCCCATCATATCGTGTAACATCTGCCACCTGCGCTTCAACTCCACTGTGAGTCGCACGCTTGTGTTTTTCCCCAGCATGACAAACCCATAAAGGCTGGAAAAACTAATTGTTACTGCAAAAATGTCATCAAAATCTCATTATTAGAATAGAAAATGCCTCACAATGGGCCTCATGCAAGAACCGTTCGTATGCACAGATTTGTTCTTAAGTTGTGCGTACGAGTGGCTTAGGAGAATTTGTGGCATTCACCAATGTTTTCGTATTCTAAGATTTTTTTCAGATACGAACAAAATTCACGAGTGGTCCAGACCTGTCGTATATTTTACGAGCAGTCAGTCTGCTGTTATCCAGATGGGTTTTCCTCCCTAATAACTTTATATTTCGTTAGTTTGAAGATATTTTGAGTTGAAAATAAATCACACTCCATAATTATGTTGACAATAGGCTATTCTGCTTGAATTAGAGTTATAATTTTAAATGTAATAATTTAGACTAACAATATAAATTGTCCGTCTGTCCGTTTTCTGCCGCTTATCCAGGATCAGGTCCTGGGGGCAGCAGGAGACCCCACTCTCCCCAGCGACACTTCCAGCTCGTCCTGGGGGACTCCGAGACGTTCCAGGCCAGAGGGGATACATAATCCCTCTAGCAAGACCTGGGTTTTCTCCAAAGTGCCAGAAATATTTTGAAAATATCTTAAAATGCTTATTTCAGAAGCGCAACTGAGACCACCTGCGACCGCGCGGCGYCTGAATAAATGAAAATGATTTAACACAGTTGTTTATACTTTTAGCAGCTCTTTTTATTCCACAGCTGACCTGCTAAAAATGACAGATTTTCTTGTCTGGATCTCTGACAGACGGACTTCAATCTCTGAACTCGTAAAGTTCTTTTTAATTTTCGCTGTCGTTTTCCTGAATGGACACTTCCTTGTATCTGAGGCAGGAAACATAGCCTTATATGGTGTTTTTGGGGTGATAATTATGCTAATCTCCTCTCCTCGTGCACGAGCAGCTGGATATGAACAGGTGGAATTTACGCAGCTCATTTACACACTTTTCCTGAGGATAGAAGAGTTTGTTGAATCTGACGTGACATGTTCGTACGAACCCTTCGTACAAACAAAAGTAAGAGAAATTTAGGATAAGAATACGAACATGTTTTTGCATGAGGCCCATTGTTGCTTTTGAGTTGTTTTATCGGCACAAACTTTCCTGTGTTTTTTGTGAGTTTTATTTTTAACATTTTTTTTCAGTTGCAGTTAACATTTTTCAATCAAATAAAATATCTTTGCATCCTAATGTTCAAATTTAATCTGAAAGTACTTTTTGAAAACAGTATTTGTTCTCACACCTGCTTGCTCCAGTTTTCAATTACTAGACTATTTTAAGCTTACGTCTGGTTTTTTTTTTTCTGTTTCTTCTACTCACACTTTTGGCTTAATACAAAATATTTATGCATACAACCCCCTATTCCCCACAAAAAAAACCGGATAGGGCAACAGAAGGCTGTAAAAATAAGGTGTACAGATAAGAAACTGCAGGAGGAATATTTTGCAACTAATTGAGGTTAGTTTGTTCTGACATTCAGCCTCGTATTCCCAGCATCACACCCCGACCCTCAGTGGTGCCCTTTTATATTTGCGTAGCTGTCTTAGGTTTTATGCAAAGTGTTAACGTCTGGTCGTCGGTTCGACCCCTCGGTGCACGCGGTCATAAAAAGATCAGCCTCTGCACTCGCTGAATTTGAAAGCACATTAGGCAGCTGCAGAGTGTTAATCTGGTGAAGATGATTGGACGGAAGTCGAATGAACTAGGTATTTAAAGTTCTGTCAAACTGACTTTGTGTTTAGTACTTTTTACAGTTCATATATCAGAATGTTCGGCTCATTTAAGAGATGGGTGCGATGGCTTCTATTTTTTGTAAGAAATGTATACTTTTCTGTACAGTAAATATATTGAGGGCTTAAAATTCCTTCATAAAAATCTGGTGAATCCACTGTACAGTGACTTCCCCCTTTTGTCTGCTTTTCTGTGCACATTTGCACGTGGGAATGTTCTAGACTCAGGCAGAGGCCCACTACAAAGGTCACAAGCACACTCGAAAGCTAAAGGCCCTGGAGAACCAGAAGAACCGGCAGAAGAGCGGGCACAGTCAGTCCTCAGCAGGAAAAGACAGTGAAGGAGGCACGGCGGGAGGAATAACGGTGCCAACAGACTTGCAGCTAAAAGACAAAACAGGTACAAGTTTTATTTTTATTTTTCTAAAAGCAGTCCCCTTGCCACCTTCTGAGTAATTAGCTGTAATGGAAGAGAATGAGCTCCAAGGCTTGGAAGCTGCCACTCAGCTGGTTAATTACCAGCCATTACCTGTCCTGCTATCATCTGTGCTGTCGGTTAGATAATTACTCCTATCAAGCAAAGGCGTTCTTCAAGATGAGAAGCATTAATGAGGTTTAAAAAGAGATGCAAATCTGAAGAGGGATGACGGCGTCTTACATTCTTAGATGGCGTAGTTTTAAAACCAAAATGTCATTGATTCAGTCGTGAAATGTTGATTCTCTTAAAGATCTGTGTAGACTCACAGGGATGGTTTCTTTACCCTTTTCTTTACATTGTAGCTTCTTCTGCTACATTGAGCTACTTTTTAAAGTAATGACTTTGCCGTTCACTGTTTTACTCTCTTTGAGCCATCAGTCACTCGGCGTCTCATTCTGCCTGACAACCAAATATCACCACCTCCTTTTCTATTCCCTCTGTCTGCCTTTCCTTTCCATTATTGATCCTCTACCTCCCATTTTCTTGCAGCACCTATCAATTTCCCCCCTCGAAGCACATAATGATAAGCTTGTTACTTTCAGTGGTTGCCATGGTTGTTGATTGATGTGACAGAGGGAGCTTCGGCAAAGAGAGAGAGAGAGAGAGCCAACAAGAGAGAGCGGGGCACGAGGACAAAGGAAGAGTGATTAAGATGGCAGAAAAGAGGAGGAAGAAATAAGAAAATTCAAGAGATGATAGAGAGGAACAGAAAGCACAATCTAAATGTGATGTGAAAGGAGTGGGACATAAAGAAGAGAGCGAAAGAAAAAAAATAAACGTATCTTGATTATGGAGACATTCGTATCGAATAAATCAATCTTGTTTTAAAGATTTTAAAACAGCTTGTGATCATAAATACATCGGATTATTAAAGGGATCCACGATTAGTTGCAACATTAGACTTTATTTGATAAACATTTATTTTAACTATAAAATAAAGACTGTAAAAATACTGTAGGATGTTTAGTTTTTATAATTTTTAAACAAATTTTTTTAAATATATTACACGGACTGAGCCATTTTATTTACACGCAAAGCATTCTGGATAAATGATGACGTTGATGGGTCCTTGGTGCGAGGCTGTGAGCGAGCTATATCCACCCTGAAGGTTAATCTTGGACAATATCTGACAATCAGCTCTTTTAAATGAAACCAGGGAGCGTTGACAGAGAGGAGAAGGTAGAAATGACTCAGTCTGTAACTGAAAATGTTGGAGGACCTCAGTTTAGCTTGTTGGTTTGTCGCGCTAGGGCCGAACTAATACATATAAGGCAACATAGTGTTGGCGCTAAAGCTAAAGCTAACAGGCTAAGCTGAGGTTCTTCTTCCATGAAGCAGCTCTGTTGTCCTCCATCCATATTTTCAGTTACAGTCTGAGTCATTTCTACCTTCTCCTCTCTGTCAACGCTCTCTGGTTTTGTTTAAAAGAACCAATCGTCAGATATTGTCAAAAATTAACCTTCAGGGTGGATATAGCTCGCTAGCAGCCTCACACCGATGACCTATCCATGTCATCATTTACCCAGAATGCTTTGTGTTTAAATTAAATGGCTCAGTCAGTGTTAAAATATATTTTAAAAAATTTACTAAACTAAACAGCCTACAGTATTTATACAGTCTTTATTTCACAGTTAAAATTTATGTTTATTAAATAAAGTCTAATGTTACAACTAATGGTGGATCCCTTTAAATAATGTGAAACAATAATGGCCTTGTATTTGTTGTTGTCGCTGTTTTGGTCAAACTGAAAAGAATTGTAGAAGTTATGCACAATCTTATGCAACGTTCAGAGTTTTGAACGCTCTCGTCTTGTGTTTTTCTATCTGTCCGCAGATACAAGCTCTCCATCCCGGTCTGCTCAACAGTGTCCTGAAAACAACCAGGAGAGCTCCCCAACAGAAACTCCGTCCTCGATGACTTCATCCTCAGACTCTTCCTCCCTGCCCTCCTCAGCTCACCACATCCCAGAAGCATCACCAGAACCTCAGCTTTCTGACCTGCCTTCAAACAGTCCACGTGCAGACGGGTGCAGCCCAAACACTGGGTCTGCGCCACACTCTGACCTCCAGGGAAGCTGCCCGGGCGGAGAGGGGGAAGAGGAGGATGAGGAGGCGAAGATGAAGGAGGTTAAGGAGGCCAAAAACAACAAGAAGCATTTTCACTGTCCGACTTGCAAAGTGACGGTCAATTCAAGCTCCCAGCTGGAGTCTCACTGTAGCGGTACGCACTTTCCCTTCGCTGCTTCTACTTCTGTTCATTTTTCACTGTTCTAACGTTTCACTCCCTCCATCTGGTCGGACGATTCAGGGTCGAAGCACAAACAGATGCTGGATGGTCAGAGCAGCAGTCGGCCACATGGCAGGGTCAGGATGGGATCATCGCCTCGGCCCAAAGGTCGAATGAAACAACGAATCAGGAGCAAGAGCAGAGTGGTCGTTGGCGTGACCAATCAGGCCTTTCATTGTGAGCTGTGCCAAGTGTCGGTTAACTCTGAAACACAGCTGAAACAAGTACGTGGATTATACTGTTTGCTTTAGCTAATTAGCTAAGCGTTTGTTGGATTTTTTTTTTTTTTTGCCTGAATCTGTCTTTTTTTTTTCTTTTTCAGCACACAAACAGCAGGAGACACAAAGAGCGTTTAGCTGGGAGGCCTGTAAAAGCCAAGTTCACCCCCTATAATAAACTACACCCCAGTGCTGTCTTAGCAGTGAGTCTCCTTCTCACACATTTATTTTACATTTGATAAGTTTTATATTTGTCCTCATAGCACATGGTCAGTTAGGAACACTATAACATAAATCATGGTCGTTTCCTCCAGTGTCACCACTCACAACTACAGGTGTCCTGATACCAGTTTTTCTCAGAGTATGAGTACTTTAGTTTGGGTACTTGCCGATGCCAAGTACGGACACAGAGTTAGACATTAAACATTACACAATGATTATAAAAAATGTTTCTTTTATTTAGAATCTGGTACTAAATGGAATACTGATGTTTTTCAAAGCAACTACAGTCTGAACAGTGATGTCGCATTTCATCTAACTTTTACGTCAGTGAGGTGGGGATATATGGATCGATCCAAATAATAACCTTGAGTCATGCTGTTTAAATATTCTAACTTCACGTCTTCAGCTACAGAACCGAAGTCCAGTTGCTTTGTCTTTGTTCTTTTAATTTTCCGTGTCCTGGATGACAGAATCCACAGAAACATATACGTTGGTGTCAGACCACATAGACACTAAAGCAGCTTGATACTTTAGTTAGTTTTATTTAGAGCATGTCACGTCGCCCTCGCTCCACAAATACATGCTTCACCAGAGCAGCATGTCAGTTAAATATTTAATCGGATCTTATTGAACAACAACTTCAGAATCGACGTGCTAACATGTAGCATCCGTGTGTAGCGACCTGTCTTATGTTGTCCTCTGTACATGCGGGTCGTATCGACGGCATGAAGCATTCACACCTCTGATGGAGGTCGCATTTAAAATGTGAACATCCATTCAAAAGCATGGTATCTGTTCCAGGTATTGGAACATTTTAAACAAGTACTTGTAAAAAGTCTGGTATCCCCACTACTTACAACTGAGCCAATGTCCTTGATCAAAACTGGTCCTTCTTTTATTTGCATGGAAGAAGAAGAAGCGATGACTAGAAACATGGTGAACTAACATGCTAAATGATAATTCTGATTATAATTAAGCGCCCTAAACATCTGGATGCACTTGTAATTTTTAAGTAATTTGTATACTGTATATGGTGGCCTGGTTATGTACTCTGTCTTGTCAGAAGTCAGTAAGTATACCTCCTGCTTTTGGTTTCAGACTAAACTGGCCCTGCAGAAGCAGCTCTCCAAAGCCCTGCCGGCAGGGCTCCTGACCAGCCCGCTCAATCCATCTGCGTTGTGCGCCATGGCGTCCGGACCCTTGGCTCTACGACTTCCTCCGGGCCCTGCAGCCATTATCCAGGGTCCCCTCATCAGCCCCACACTCTTCAGGCCTGCACCTGGACCTCTGAGGGCCACGCATGCTCCTATTATCTTCTCTCCCTATTAACAATGAGCACAAGATGTTGGGAGTTACAGATCTGACTTAGTCAGAGTTGGACCAGCAGAAATGACTGACTCTGCCAGGCCTGGATCATCCAGTTCTGCCTGAGTGACACCGAGACACTGCAGTCAGAGTGAGAACGGCATGATTAGCATGACTGGGACAAGTCATCAAACCAGTATGCCCTCACTTTGGGTGTGGATGGAAATTTCAGCGCTGACTGAGAGGTGTGTCAACTTAAAAAGGTGGAAGGATCATCTCTTATCAGTTGAGTTCTTGTTTCCCAGGGTCTGGACCTCACTGCAAGCCATAAAGACATCCATCTTGGATTTTATTTTAAACTGATACACTAAAGCATTAAAGTATTTAAGAACATTATTTCATTTTAGAGCCTTTCGATGGACTCTGAGATGGGAATTAAAACTATTTCTGCTTCAGTAAGCAAATCAAAATCAGAAAAATCACATTCTGTTTTTATCATAAAATTGGTTTAAATATGGAACCAGTTTTATTCTATAAAAAGATGATAATATCTGCAGTTTTGCACTTCAAAATGTTTTGTATCTCCATGTATTTTCAGCCATCAGTTGATGTGTGTTCTAGTATTTGTCGCTGTTCTGTGTGTTTTTGTCTCTTGTTTTTTTTTGTAATAAGTGACAATCAACCATACCTGAATGAATAAATACTTGCCAAACAGAGATAAATAAATTAATGTCTAAATTGAAATGGCTTGAAGTAGTTATACAACTTAATGTTTTTTTTTTTTTTAGAGGAGCCATTATGGTGTGCTTTACTGCTGATAGCTGGGTAGATTAATAAGAGGTTACACTTTAGGTCACCCTGTTTACAATATAATTTATATAAAGACTTTTTAAAAAGCAACATTTTTTTATGAGTCAGATTTAATTAGAGCCTCTTGTGTAGACTCAAGTATTAACAGAACATGAAGGACATTGTTGCAAACATGCTTAATGATTCCAAAACATGACATCACAGACCAAGTTTGAAATGTTTAAAACCATACAGTATTGACATAATTTGTTGTATTTTTAATGTCTCTGTAGCAGACTATATTAGAGTTTTATTCCTTATATGAAAATGTTGATTATAAAATCCTAAACAGGGGGATTTAAAGTGCTGTAATTCAGGTAAGTTAAGATCAACTTGATGCTGCTTGTGCAATATGATGGAGCAGAAACTGTGCTATTCATGAACATCTAAATCATGTTTAAAATACTGAAACTGTTATTTCTGTTGTAACTATTAAAAATGATCTACTTTCATTAAAGATGGAAAACCCTAAGCAATATGTATTTTAAGTGTCGCCTGATAAGATCAATGATAGCATAATTGTACTTTTTTTGCAATAATTTACAAAATTATGTGAGAAAAATGGTTATAATGTATTCCACTTTAACTTATAAATAGTCCTGTTACATTTACGCAGTTGTGCTTGTTTTTCTTTTACATGAACATGTTTTCATTTTTCATCATGTCTTGAAAAATTATTCTGGTCACTTAATCAGTATTATTTTACGTCAAATGCATATGATATGGATTTTTTTCAAATATGCTTATTTTAGTATAAATTAGTATATTAAAACAAAACAGAGTTAGAGAGAGTTTCATTTACTTGTACAGTAATGACTGAAAAGATTAAAATACTGTAGGACTAATTACTAAAACCAAATACCAAGAAGTCAAAGTGATCATTAATTTAGTTTGTCCTTTTTAACAGACATTTCTCATTTCATGAGGATTTGGTGCCCTCCTGTGATGTTTAGCAGCAAGTACAACGTATAAATAAAGATAATGTTTCTTTCATGTGATTAGAAATCCTGTAGTCAATAAATTGCAGAATATCACACTTAATACTGTAAACATTAGAAAAGCTAGTTAAATCTATTGCTGGTACTCTATATATATAT